AATCGGATGAACAATATATATGGGAGCTATAGCTATATCTGAATCGATTTCGATCAAATTTGGCATACTTGTTTTCAGGTCCAATCTGATCGTACGAGCAAAATTCCATACTAGTCGGATTGATATTACACGTTTGGTGCACAATAAAAATCAAATCGGACGAAGATATATATGGGAGCTATATCTAAATTTTGACCGATTATCTCCAATTTCAATAGGGTTCGTCCTTGGACCAAACAAATGACTTGTGCAAAATTTAATCTGGATAGGGCAATAAATGCGAACTGTACTTTGTTTACAAAAATACATGGACAGACGGACGGACGGACATGCATAAATCGACTCAGAATGTGATTCTATGCAGATCATCAAAAGGAACTATGGGTCTATCTCGTTTCCTTTTGCCTGTTACAAACAAATGCACAAAGACATAATACCCTGACCACCTTGTGGTGTAGGGTATAATAATGGAATGGGTAGCACGTGTTTCATAGTCTCTATACATATATGCTTTTCATAATCGGCAGGGCTGGATTTTTGTGTACCCTCTTCCAAATAAAATCTTAAATTAGCTTGTTTTTTAAACATGGGCTATAAGCGAAGGGCTATTGGACCATATTTTTTTTTCAAAAATGAAGTACCAACTTCACATTAATGATGAATGCATTGCGCCGCCCGTAGATAATTAATAATTAATAAATAAGACTTGACACACAATGGAGAAATTTTAGGACCGTGTTATCTCTCGCACAACAAGTAAGTCACGATTTAACACCTTGCGATTTCTTCCTTTGGAACCACGGGAAAAATAAGGTCTAAGCCAACAGCATAGTGTCAGTTTTATATATCATATAAAGGAATTTTGAGGCTATCGAGGGCATAAGAAACCACTGCGATTTGGTTATTTCATATGACTACATATACGTTGGAAGAACCGATTTTTCTTTCAAATTTGTTCTTTACCAGATTTGTACTGCTGTACAATCCTTCTCCAATAATAGGAGGTTTAAATTTAAAAACAACATATGACCTTAGATAACTGTACTTTCCGATGTTGATGGGCTAGATGTATTTTTTCACCCAGTCCGCATTTAGGTTCTTAACGGATAGAAACCACCAAGAATATGTCCAAGTCTTACACTGTCAATCTAGTTTTGAAATACTAGACTTCTTTATTTTTTATACCCTCCACCATAGTATGGAGGGTATATTAAGTTCGTCATTCCGTTTGTAACACCTTAAAACATACATTTTAGATCCTGCAAGTATATGTATTCTTGATCAGCAAAAAAATCTATGTCGGCTTAACCATGTCCGACCGTCTGTCTGTCCGTCTGTCCATCTGTGGAAATTACTATAGCTTCCGAACGAATTGAAGTAGGTTGATAAATTTTAACTCAAATGTGTGTATGGTCTGCAGGGCTTTTGATATTGAAAATGAGCTATATAAGTTCACGTTTAGATATAGCCCCATATAAATGTATCTCCTTATATTCAATATTTTTGATGATATTAGCAACATTGTTCATCAGAATTTTTACAACTTTCGTAAAAAAAGTTCGTAATGGATTCTACAGCGTGTGACCGAAACTTGCCTATGCATGTCCTAGTCTTCGTATAGCCCCCACATAACTTTACCTCCCGATATTCGGTATTTTGATTTCTTAGCTGCATTATTCACCGTAATTGTTCCAAATTTGGTATTTGTACTTCGTAATGAATACTACAGCCTGTGACAGAAAATTGCATATACAGGTCCAGGTTTTCGTATAGCCCACGTATATCTGTACCTCCCTATATTCTGTATTTTGATATTATACCGGATTTTTTTTTTCAAATTTCGAATTTGAAGTTAGTATTAGTACGTATTAGCCTGAAAATTTCAAAATTCTTTTTCAAATGGTGGAGGGTATTCATAGTTCGACCTGGCCGAAGCTACTGTTTTTTTACTTGTTGTTATTTTGTTTGCTAGAACATTTATTGTTGTTAAACGATTTATAAAGGGCGATTTTTAAGAGCCATAGGAAAGATTTCCAAAAAGAAAAACAAATAAAGGGTTAGTCTGTGTAGACATGACTTTTAACATAGCACTACAAAAAATTGTCTAAATGCGTTAAATCGGACGATTTAAGGGGGAAATTGGCCGGTCCCGAACGAGAAATAAAATCGAACTCGACTCTCAATAAGTCCATTGATAATGCATCTATTAGGATTACGCTTTTCAATTTGTCAATATATTGGGAACATATAAAAAACCAGTAAAGAAAGTCTTAAAGTCGGGCGGGGCCGACTTTATGATACCCTACACCACTTTGCTAATTTAGGAGAGCTCCGCATAACAATTAAAAGTTTTTATGGGAGAATTCAATCATACACGCTATGATTATAATTATAACTTAAAGTTCAAAGGACTAAATATGCCGAAGCATTTGTATCTTTTAAATTCGGACTTGTATTGCCCATTTGGTGCACAATTAATTTGAAATCGGATAAAAATATATATGGGAGCTATATCCAAATCGGAATAATCGATAAAATTTGGCAAAGATATTTCTGAGCTGTATTTGATATATTTCCCTGAATATCGTTGTTACGGACGGCACATTACGGCTGTGGGTAACAAATATGACAAATCGGATGAAAAGTATATGTGGGAGCTATAGCTATATCTGAACCGATCTTCACCAAATTTGACATACTAGCTTCTAGACTCAATTTGGTCGTAAGTGCCAAATTTCATCCCATTTGGGCAAATATTAGACGTTTGGTGCACAATCCAAAGTAAATCGGACGAAGTTATATATGGGAGCTATATCCAACTCGGAACCGATCTCGATAAAATTTGGCAAATATATTTCTGAGCTGTATTTGATATATTTCCCTGAATATCGTTGTTACGGAGTGCATATTACGGCTGTGGGTAACAAATACCACAAATCGGATGAACAATTTATATGGGAGCTATAGTTATATCAGAACCGATCTTCACCAATTTTGACATACTAGCTTCTAGACTCAATTCGATCGTAAGTGCCACATTCCATCCCATTTGGGCAAATATTAGACGTTTGGTGCACAATAAAAAGTAAATCGAACGAAGTTATATATGGGAGATATAATAAAATCCGAACCAATCTCGATAAAATTTAACAAAGGTATTTCTGAGCTGTATTTGATATATTTCCCCAAATATTGTTGTTACAGAATACATATTACGGGTGCGGAGGACAAAAATAACAAATCGGATGAACAATATATATGGGAGCTATAGCTAAATCTGAACCGATTTCGATCAAATTTGGCATACTTATTTTCAGGTCCAATCTGATGGTAGGGGCAAAATTCCATACTATTCGGACTGATATTACACGTTTGGTGCACAATAAAAGGCAAATCGGATGAAGATATATATGAGAGCTATATCTAAATTTTTACCGATTATCTCCAATTTCAATAGGGTTCGTCCGCCAAACAAATGACTTGTGCAAAATTTCATCTGGATCGGGCAATAAATGCGAACTGTACTTTGTTTACAAAAATACATGGACAGACGGACGGACGGACAGACGGACGGACATGCATAAATCGACTCAGAATGTGATTCTCAAAAGGAACTATGGGTCTATCTCGTTTCCTTTTGTCTGTTACAAACAAATGCACAAAGACATAATACCCTGACCACCTTGTGGTGTAGGGTAAATAATAATTTTTTCCCCCAATTGTGGAGAGTATAAAAAATTTAACAGTTTTTTAAACCCTGCACCACATAGGATAATATGTCTTTGTGTAGTTGTTTGTAATATGGACTAGGAAGAGAGATAGACCCATAGTTCCTTTTTATGATCTTCATAGAATTTCTTTCTGAGTCGATTCATGCATGTCAGTCTGTCCATATATTTTTGTGAACAAAATGCAAGTCGCATTTATTATCCGATTGAGATAAAGTCTTCCAAACAATAATTGTTTGGCCCAAGGACGAACCCTATTGAAATTGGTGAGAATCGGTTGAAATGTAGATATAGCCCCCATAAATATCTTCAACCGATTTCGGGTTAATTGTGCACCAAATGAAAAATATCAGTCCAATTGATTTGAATTTTTGCATATCCGGCCGAATTCAGTCTAGAAGCAAGTATTGATGATATTAGCAACATTTTTCATCAGAGTTTTTACAAATTTCGTAAAAAAAAGTTCGTAATAGATTCTACAGCCTGTGACCGAAACATGCATATGCATGTCCAGGTCTTCGTATAGTCCCCACATATCTCTACCTCCCTATGTTCGGTATTTTGATTTTTTTAGCTGCATTATTTACCGAAATTGTTTCAAATTTGGTGAAAATTGGTTCAGATATAGTTATAGCTTCCATATGTTTGTTTCATCCAATTCGGTCTTTAAGTCCCTCACACTCGTAATATACACTCCACAACAATGATATTTGGTACCAGATATGAGATGCAGCCCAGAAATACCTTTGCCAAACTTTATCGCGATCAATTCGGATTGATTGTGCACCAAATGGCCAATATCAGTTCAAATCACCTGGCAGATCCGATCGAATTCAGTCTAGAAGCAAGTACAAAAAAATTGGTGAAAATCTATTCAGAATTGGATCTGCCTCCATCTGAAACAAAGTTATAACTGCTCTAGGCGGTATTATCTACTTCAAATAAATTCTTTTGTTACGGGAGCTCTACTAAATATGCAATATTTATTTATATGGCAATTTTTTGCCATTCAATTTTAAATATTTTAATGTTTTAGTCATATTTTCTAACGAATGCTTCGTATTAAATTTCTCAGTGGATAAAAATCATCGCTGCGCGGAATTTTCAAAATGACCCCTATATTTGTTTATAGTCTCCTTGAGGTATTTACGACGCATTTAAAACGTTATTTGACTATAGATTGGCATTTCACAGTACAATAAGGCAAGTTGGCTCTACCGTTTCAGTAAAATATATTGCATTAGAAATCATTAACAAAAAAATGTAACTCACCAGCTAATGTTATTCCCATGTTTGTTGTATTATCACGTGGCAATGTTATGGTGGCATATGTGGTGCCTCTTTCGGGTGCCAATCCCGAATCTTCCGATTGAGCTGGACTCATGGCACGATCAACTGGTTTCGCAAAACGTGTGCAAAATGAAATGAAACAAAAAGAAGAACACAAATACATAAACAATGGCGTAAAAATAAATGAATTTTTGGATATAATAACAAAATGGAAAAATGAATAAAATTAAAAACAGATAAATATTAGCAGTGATCAATGAAATAGAAGTTATTACAGAAAAAAAGGAGATATATTTAAAAATGTATAATTAGAACATAGCAAAAAAAAAACCATCTAATTTGAGTTAATTATATATGTGTCACATGTCAGAAAACGACATTAAATTGTACGATTTCCATGAAGAAAGTTTAATATTATTCTGCTAAACGGATTTGTTAATTATAGTGCAGATTTTTATGTGCCGATTTTTCCCCTCTTCCCCATAAACTAATTAAAACAAATTTTAATTTTCAATTACAGTATCTTCACAAACAATGTTTATTGCAAATGTTCACTAAACACCCCCACCTTCGATTTTTATTACAATCTTTCCCCTAAACAAACCCCTCCCACAATTCAATAAATTTTCCATTTATCCGCCTTGAAATTGATTTTCAAATATCCTTCCCTTAATTTCCAATTTTCTTGCTTGTTTGTGCAATGTTCCACCATTCATAATTACACAAGAGAAACAGCCATAAACATAGTTTTACTGCTTATCCAAGAAGGGAATCATGCTTGTTTTTTAAATTACAACCAAAACATCAACAAAGTTGGCGGAGGATTTATTTGTTTTCACTTTTCACACTTTTTACGAGGTGACAAAAAGGATATAAACTTTTCCACATCGATGGCCAAGTGAACCACATCAAAGTTGCCATGGAAGAAAACATTGTTGTTCTAATCTTTTATGGCGGTATTGCAGGAATATGGGTGGGGGGGATATTTCTAATTTTGTTTTAGAGAAGAAGAAACGGATAGCCCCAGCCGTATGGCTACAGTGGGTATATATAATTTGATACGCCCAAATGAGGCTCATCTAAATAACCGTTTTCGACCCTAAGCCTCTTTGGGGCAAATCCATTTCAGAACATTTGGAGTCGGTGTCCGACCGTCTTTTTGTCTGGCAGGCTAGTTGGTGTGCACAATATCTCTCGAAGGGAGTGTCCGATCTGGTCGAAACTCGACACATCGTAATATTATTATCAGACTTAGATCGAGTTCGAAGATGAGCTATATCTGTTTACTCCTTCTGGTACCTCCCCAACAAAAGATTATCATTTTGAAAGAAAATAATTTGCCTTATAAAGAAGAAAGCCTTAACCGAACTTGGCAAATCACAAAATTTTTATGCGTGCTAGATCAAGTGCGAAAATGGGCCATATCGGCCCTCTCTCTCAAGTACCTCACTCACTAAGGGACACCATTTGGCAAAATTATAACTCTTATAAAATTTGAAATAAGAGTCATATTGCCTTCAAATTTTACAGATACCAATATTTTTATTATGTTTTGAAATGGGACATATCGGTCCACTCCCCCACAAAGTGTCAGAATTTGGAAAAGCTATGAAGCTCGTTAATGACGAAATTAGCAACGGCATATCTTTATATTTCTATCAACACAATATTAAATGTAAAGATGAATTATATCGATCCACTCCTTCTAGTACCTCCCCAACAACGGGTTAGATTTTTGAATAATTATATCTCTCATAAAATGCGAGAAAGGCATCGATTCTCATCAAATTTCACGCATCTCAATATTTCTACAAACACAAGATATGTTCTGAAGAGGGTAGATATTCAACCATTCATTCATTTTCACATAACTGACCTAATAGATCAAGAAAATATCATCAAATTTTCTTCAAACTTTGCCAATCTGAATATTCGTATCAGCGCTAATGGACAAATGCAAAAATGGACAATATCGTCCCACTCCATCAAGTACCTCCCCAACCAAGGGTCAAATGTTGAAATTTTAAAGGACCGATTGTCCTCAAATTTCGCGTATCTAACATCACACAAAAGATCTGATATGAAGATGATATATATCGGGCCACTGCTTATGCTTCCTCTCCCACGAAGGGTAAAAATTTCGAAAAATAATATCTCAGAAAAGGCGAAATAATCAATCGATTATCTTCAAATTCCACAAATCCCAATATTTTCATTAACAAAACATCGGGTTGAAGATTAGATATATCGATAAACTTCTTCTGGCATCTCCCCCACGATGGGTCAAAATTTTGAATAAATGCTAAACAAGCACCTGATTCCTTCTAAACATCGCATATTCCAATATTTCTTCTAACACTAGATCTGATGTAAAGATGGTAGATTTCGGCCCACGGCCTCTGGTCCCACAAAAGGGTCTCAATTTTCAGTATTTATATATCTCATGACTTGCGAAACAAGCCAGCGATTCTTTCCAAACGTGGTATATCTAATATCTCTCTCAACAAGGGATCTGTTGTAAAAATAGGCCCATTCCACAAAAACTTTTTGATTATCATTTGTTCGCATAAAATTGGAAATAAATGTTCGAATTCCTTTAAATTTTGCTTATACCAATTTATATACATCATTTGATACCGTTTAAACGGGCCTAGTCGAAATAACGGTTTTAGACCCTAGGTCTCTTTGGACCAAATCCGTTTCAGAACACTTGGAGTCCATCTAGCGATGTCCGTCCGTCCGTCCGTCAGAAGGGAGTATCCGATTTGGTCCAAATTTGGTACATCGTTAAATTTTTTGTCATACTTAGATCGAGTTCGGATGGTCAATATCGGTCCACTCCTTCTGGTACCTCACCCACAAAAGGTCGAAATTTTAAAAAAATATATATATTTTTTACACCGAAAGAGAAACGATAATCCGATTTTGCTCCAACTTTGTAAATCATTATATTTGCGTAAGTGCTAGGGCAGGTGCAAAAATGGACAATATTGGTCCACTCCATCAAGTACATCCCCCACAAAGGGTCAAAATTTCAAATAATTACAACTCTTATAAAATGTTATATAAGAGTCCGATTGTCTTCAAATTTCACACATCCCAATATTTTTATAAACCCAAAATCTGGTGTCAAGATGGAATATATCGGTCTACTCCTTCTAGTACCTCACCCACAAAGGCTCAACATTTTGAATATCCACGATGCTCATAAAAAGCGAAATAACTTCCGATTCCATTCCAGATTTGGCCCATCTCAATATTTCCATCAACACAAGATCAGTTATACAGATGGTAGAGATTTGACCTCTTCTTCTGGTACCTCCCCACATAGAGTTTAAGATTTTAAATACTCAACGCTCAAAGAAACAAAGCATCAAACTCTCTTCAAATTTCACAGAAGTCTAAACACACTTAATTAATCGAACATTGGCTGAGGGTATACGTCTGTCGGTAGAACCGATTGATACATTTTAACTTGTTAATAAATATAAACGGATATGGGCTAAAGGTATACATCTGCCGGCAAAAGAAAATAGTGGATTGACCTACTTCTCGAAACTTCCCCCATAAAGGGTCAACAATTTGAATAATCCAGGCCCAAGACCGGGGGGTAAACATCTGTCGGCAGAACCGACTGATATTATTTAACTAGTTACTTCAGGGTTAAATCTGGACATAAATATTAGGAGATCCTTAACGCCTTCTGGGTAAATTTTTAAATTTTTGGCCTAGAAAAATTGCCCTAACGTATAGCCCCGAAAAATATTTCGAACATCCTTATGACCGTTTAGGGTCTTTTAGGAGCAATTGTTTGGAGTTATATATATTAAATGGGAATTTCTACTTTTTTATTTGTTTTTTTTTTTTTTTTTTTTTTCAACAAAATATTTTTAGAAAATTCAAATTTGCCACAACAACTTTTCAAATTAGTCATGTAACTGCAAAAATTCTGTGTAACATAATTTAATTTCTTAATTTATTCAACACCCGCTACTGTTTACATAAAATTATATTGAAACTGGCGAAACGAATGAAAAAAAAAAACAAGCGCCAGAGCCGCAAAAATGCACAACATCAAAGTGAAATGCAGAAATCTAGGCAGCCGCCGTATTCACGCATTCATATGCACCGTAGTTTTCATTGTACATCAAATGACCAGACGGTCATACGAATGTGCAACGTGCCTGGCATTATGTCGACTTAGTTCTTTTTTTCGCCAATTTGCATGGTACACTTTTCCATTAAATCAAAAATGTTGTAGACTTTTTATTTTCTCTTTTTTTGGTTTTACTACAACTGCTGCAACGCTTTTTTTCTCTCCACAACGACTCTTAACAGCACACACATTCATAAGGCACAACTACACACACACACATTACACGACCAATTTCTGTTGTTACTACTTTAATTTACATGAAGATCTTTTTTAGCAGATAGCCAAAAATATATCAGATAGTCACAATGACCAACTCCATACATCCCACATTCAAGAGGTATGCGGTGGCTGGCTGACAACCTGGAATTGTACGTTGAGGTTATGCAAACACAACGGGTGGACATTCATTAGTCAACACAACTTTATTGGTGAAAGACGCTGAGTTCTCACAGGGAGATTTTAGAAAAATGCACGATGGATGTTCCTGTGGGGTCTATTGGTTTGTGGGGTTGTATATGTCTTGCAGAGGACAAATTATGAGAAATGAATGCTTCTTTCAACTGAAAGAGTTATATCCGAAATTACAACACAGTATTATAAAGATGAACATCAAAAGCAGAAATATGTTTTTTTTTTGTATTTGGAAAGCAAGAATACAAATTCGATCAACTTTGAAATTATTTTCTGATCTATGATTGATTGTCGGATTTTTTCGTTAGAATCACCCTAACTGGTTCGAAAACACCCATATTAGGGGAATTTGTCGACGTTTAATATCTAATGGTTCTAAATAATATTTTGCATTTGAATTTGTAAACAATGCAATAGTTGGCCAACCATTGGATAACCTACAACTCAACAGTTTGCGATAACGTTTCTGCAGATCTGAAACCCTTTTGAGGAGAATGAAGATTGTACTAAGAAATATCCTAATATCTACTACATTTTG